TCCGGGACCAGGTTTACCCCCTCTCTTCCCTGCATCATCCGCCCCCACCCCTCGTAACATCAGTCCTGATGCCAGATATTAACACACTGAGAAGCCTCCCAACTTAGATCCCCCTCACGTCACCCTCTGCCTGTCTCCCCCTTTCCTGCTCCCTTCACAGCAAGGTTCCTGAAAAGAACCATTCACGTCTCCGCTGCCTTTACGTCCCTCGTCGTCTCTTGTCCCCACTGGAGTCTTGTCCCATTTTTCTTGGAACTGTGTTTGTCAGCACCACCAGTGACGCCCTTGTTGCTGGCGCCTGCGCTCAGCCTCGGGCGCGCGGCCTGATCCCTGAGCACCGCTGGCTGTAGCCGATGACCGCCTCCTTCTGGAGGGGCTTTCCCACCGCCTCGGGCCGCACATGGTGTTTCTCCTGCCCCGGGCGCTCTCCTGTATTCTCTCCTCTGATGATCTTCCCAGCCTCCCCCGTTGGAGGGCTCCAGAGTATGGCCACAAAACTCTCTTCTACCTGCTCCCGTTCACCTGGCGACCTCATCTGTCCTGTGGCTGGAAATGCACCTGAAGTCCACGCCAATGACCTCCACATGTGTCACTTCGGTTCTGACCTCCCTAGACCTCCAGCTTACGTACACAGCTGCCTGCTAGAATCAGTCATTTTTTCAAGGAGCCTGGTTCCTTGCAGTAGAGAATGAAAAGCCAGAATCTTGGCAAAGCAAAATCTAGGTGCCAGGTGTATATGTTAAAATTTCTAAAGGCCCTCCTTATGACCAATTTCTTGTTCCACAGAAAGGACTCTTATTGGATCCACTGATTGTTTACCGTAAATCTTCGCTTTTAAATACCGTTGAAAACCCACGTGTAATTCTGACGCTTTGGCAGGTTGGAGGCGTACTTCTCAACCTGACATCCTCGGACGCAAGTTCACAGTGGTGCTAATTAACCCGTGAATAGATTCTTCATCAGTAAAGAATGAATAACTTGTACTTACCTCGATATGGTCTTCAGTTCAATTCAGAATTATTTTAGTTTAGCTATTAATGGACTTCCCATTGGAAGAGTGAGTAAAATTAAGTTTTTCAAATAGGACGCAGTTTGCAAAACTGTAATTGCAGCACTTTATTCTTGCTCATCAGAAAATAGAGTTCCTTCCACTTTCTTCTCTTTAGTCACTTGTCAGCTTTCAGCAGCTGGCAAAAGATTAAGTATGCAAGTCTTTAATTTCTGTTTCTTTTTATAAATCGAGTACTTGGTCCAATGGGGGTATAGTATCAGTTGAATTTTTTTTTTAAATAAGGTTAAGAATTAAAGGTAAAGGGCCAGTGCAAGGGGAGGGAGGGATGAGGGGCACAGGGCTTGGGTTTTGCCTTTAGGTGATGGGGGCAGTGACGAATGGGAGCAGCAGGCACGCAGACAGGTCGTTCTCTTGCAAACGTCACTTGGCAGCAGCACGATGAGCGGGTTAGAGGGTGGGAGGTGAGTGTGAGGGCAGAAGAACAGCACTGTTGGTGTAGTTCAGGAGAGGAGCAGGGGGCCGGAGCGAGGGCTGGGGGCAGAAAGGGACGGGGCTGGTGTCCGTCCGCCGTCGAGGGAGGGTGCAGCCGGGATGGCTCTGTTTCTTGCTTGGGCTTCGTTTGGGATGGTTGACGCCTTTCTGCGTGGAGACACGGGTTGGCATTAGTGTGAAACGAGTTCGTGTTAGAACCTGTCCAGGATTTGCGATTCCTATAGGACAGCAGTGTGGGTATGTTTGTTAGGTAGTTAGACTCACAAGTCAGTTGCTCAAGAAAGAGTTTATAAGGCAGCAAACAAACATTAATTCTAGATACATCTGGTTACAGTGTTTAAGAACGTATGTAATTTGGGTGAAGTTTTGTTTGTTTGTTTGTATACTTTGCCTTTTGGAACCATTCTGTCTGTTGTGGGAGTGGGAGCTGTTGGCAGTTTTAAGCTACTCCAGAGAAGCATCCTGCAGATCCACGGCTTTAAGAGAAACCGTTTACTTCTCGGCTGAAATAAGTAGTCTGCCCCCACCCACTTCTGGCAAGGGTGTATGTGTGTTTATTGATTTCTTTATTACTCTTTTTTCCTAAGACAAAGTCTCCCTTGCTAAGACAATTGCACTGTTAAGACTTATGGAATTATACTAATTTTAAATTCAAAAGAAATACTTATCCAGTATCTGAGATTAATCATTGAAGCAACAAGATATTTTAGTCTGTTTCATTAAGTAAATAGGAAGTTACCAGGTGTCTCATGGCCTGAAATAATTCATGGAAGTTGCTGATTTCTAGCCAAGAAAGTTGAGGGATGTATGTGATAAGGCAGAATCAGAAGTTAGGAGACCAAGGTTTTGCTTCATCTGTTTCTCCCACTTACTTACCACGAGATTTGGACAGACCAGCTTTCTGGCGCCCAGCTTAGTCATCTGGAAAGTGGAAGCAGTGACTCCCTGTTTATCTCCCGAGCGGACTCACTCCTGCACAGGTGACGCCTGGAGGCACTGTCCTAGGTGGGGGCGGCCGCCCTGAACCGGCCCAGGTGGCTTTTACTCTCATGGGGGTTATAGTGTCATAGTTACAGTGAGAGCACATATAAACTGTAAAGCACTGTGGAAACATTACGGCCATTCTTGCTTCAGGTAAGTTTTCTTCCTGCAAGGTCAGGTTCTCTTTCCATTTGAGCGATACCTCGATAAAACACGCAAATAAAAAGGAGTTGTGAGTCTACGCATCTTACACCTGTCACAGAAACTAAGTCAAAATGATGGTGGACCTAGATGCAAAGCCGTAAAGTGCCTAGGAGATAGCACAGGAGAGGTGCCCTGGGTGGGGCGATGGCTTTTTATTCTTTTCTTTTTGGGGGGGGGTTGCAGGGGGGGATCATTAGGTTTGCTCATTTCTTTATTTTTAGAGGAGGTACTGGGGATTGAACCCAGGACCTCACGCGTGCTGAACATGCACTCTGCCACTTGAGCTATACCCTCCCCAAACATACTGTTCTTTTTTTTAAATTTTTCATTTGGGTGAGGGGAACAATTTTTCGGATACTGAACTAAAGGCATGACAGTGAGAGACGTAATTGATAAGCTGGACTTCATTCAAATTAAAAACGTGGGCTCTGCAAAAGTTACTGTCAGCAGTAAGAAGACCAGCCACAGACTGGGAGGAGATGTTTTCAAAAGACATAGACTGATAAGGGACTGTTATCCAAGGAACTCTTAAAACTCAATAGAAAAAAAAAACCTGATTAAAAAATGGGCAAAAGCCCTGAACAGACCCTTCACCAGAGAAGATACACAGGGGGCAAATAAGCACACAAAAAGATGGTCCCCGTCATATGTCACCAGGGTAATGCAAATTAAAACAAGATGCCACCACACATCGATTAGAGTGGCTAAAATACAAAACACTGACAACACCAAATGCTGGCGGGGATATGGAGCAACAGGAACTCTCGTTCATTGCTGGCGGGAACGGAAAATGGTGCAGCCACTTAGGAAGACAGTTTAGATGTTTCTTAAAGTACTAAACGTATTCATACCGCAGAATCTAGCAGTCACACCCCTTGGTATTCACCCAAATGAGCTGAAAACTTAGGTCCACACAAAAAGCTGTCCCCAAATACTTACTCAGAATCACCAAACCCTGGAAGCAACCAGGATGTCCTTCAGCAGGTGAATGGATCTGTAAAACTGTTGCATTTAGATAAAGGGATGTTATTCAGTGACAAAAAGAAACGAGTTGTCGGGCCATGAAAAGACACGGAGGCACCTTAAATGCACATTACTAAGCGGCAGGAGCCAATCTGAAAGGGCTACATACTATGTGATTCCAGTCATAGGACATTCTAGACAAGGCAAAACTATGGAAACAGAAAAAAAAGATTAGTGGTTGCCAAGGTTCGTTGAGGGGGCAGTGAATAGGTGGAGCACAGAAGATTTTTCGGGCAGTGAAACTGCTCTGTGTGGTACTATAGTGGTGGATACATGTCACCATATATATGTCAGATTGTACAACACCTAGAGTGGCCTTAATGTGGACCATGGACTTGGGGTGATGATGACATGTCAGCTTGGGTTCATCATTTAAACAAAGGTCCTCCTGTGGTGCAGGACGTGGATCGTCGGGGAGGGGATGTGTCTGGGGAGGGTGGGGGGTGAGGTGTACGGGAACTCTCTGCTTTTCTGCCCAGTTTTTCAGTGAACCTAAGACTGCTCTGAAAAAATGAACTAGTTAAAAAAAAAAGTGGTATCTCTATCCGGGAAGATACAGTACAGGTGTACCTCACTCAGTAGGCAGTTATTAAATGTTTGTTGAGTGAATAAAGGAATGGTGGTATTATTTGGAAATTCAATGTAAGCAGATACTGATTACTATCTTGCTTGTTAAATTTTCAGGAATGTTATTAATTACATTTTAAGATTGAAGAGATGATCTGTGCAGAAAAATTTAACTCAGAATTCAACAGACCGATTTTTAGGGAGTGCCAGAGTCAGCGCCATATACTTAGATTTCAGAATAAGAATTAGAAGAATTTAATGCCAGGGGGCAGTTTTGGGCACAACGTAAGATATCTAAGATTTCCAGCTGTGAATGAGATAAAATCCTAAATTTAGAAACCAACATGATTTGTTCACTTACCTTGGGAAGTAAAAGGAAAGTTTAGGTCCTGAGATGTTTACACATAAAGCGTGCAAAATAAGAGTAATTTTTTCTTCCAAAGAAGTTCAATTGAATGGGAAGCTACTTGTGTGGCAGCTCGTGTGATATGTAAGTAAAAATTCTATACTGCCTGGGCATTTAAAAACCCTACAGCTTTGGGTCAATTTCAGATATGTATGAATATCCATCCCTAATAATTTTCAAAAATTCTAAAGGCCTTTGACTGGGATTCTTTATTTTTGTGGTCATTCGCCCAACATCCCACGTGTTGTCGGTAATCGGCGTTGGTGAGGATGCGAGTTCTCACCAGACGTCCTCCCCCGGTCGCTCCTTCTCCAGGCAAACATGCGGAAGACATATTCGGCGAGCTGTTTAATGAGGCCAACAACTTCTACATCAGAGCAAATTCTCTGCAAGACAGGATCGATCGCCTTGCCGTCAAAGTCACCCAGCTGGATTCAACAGTGGAAGAGGGTACGTAATTGCCGAGAGCAGTGAGCACTCAGTGATGTGGGCAAGAGGCTAGTGATTAATCGCAGGGCAGTTTCTGTGCTTCCTGGGGTCGAGTGCGCAGACTTCATCTTGCCTTCTCCTAGAAGAATGGCGAGGGGGAAGCCCACAGCATTGCGTTAATCAGTGATTGAAAGAGTCACATGTTGTCTGCCTTGTGTGCCGAAATCTCTGTTTAGATAAACTACAGTACATGTGTTTTAAAGGACACTTGGAGTGCGTTCAGCATTGGAAATCCTAATGTAGGCTGTGGGTGGTGGTTTTAAAGATGCTTTCTTACCTAAAGATCACAGCTTCACTCCGGAGGTACCGTCCAGCTGGCGGGCGGGGGGGCTGTGACAGGTGGCGCAGCCCAGCGGGGCCCTCCACCCGCTGCTGTTCTCGGGCGGGTACTTGTAGGTAATCCTGGGGATCTGCTGATTTAAGTTCCCAGAAGCAGCCTTTACTGAAGGCCCCTAGGCCTTGGGGTTTTAAAACAAAGTTAGTGTGACAGACACTGTGTAGTTAACTGACAGTCATTAGGAAGATACACTCTGGAGTTGGGGTGGTTTCAACAAAATGAAAATTCGGAAAGTCCTTTTTAAAAATTTCATTTGCCATATCTTTTGAATGAAAGACTGAGACTAGGCTGGAAAAAAATCTACAAAAAAAAAAAAAAGTCAAGATGTGCCATTTTATATTTACTTTGAGAAAAATGTTCAGATTAAAAATTACTTTTACCTTTATTTTACAGTTTCTCTTGTTACATTAAAACAATCCCAGCATCTCATTTTTCTACTAGACCTATAATAATAGTATTAATTTTTAAATGAAGGCTTTATTTTTTAGAATAGTTACTTACGGAATTTGTCCCTGATCATTTAAAACAGATGTTTTCTCTTGTTGAAGTCTTTTTCAAAAGTCAAAATTAAATTAGTGAACTAAAAATTTAACAGAAAGGTAGAACATTGATATTTTAACATCCATTATAGGCATTCTTTTCCAACAATAAGTAGGAAGCTAAATTTATTTTTCATTTGAAAAAATAAAAATTTGAATAGCTACTTGATCTATTCATAAAGGGAACTTTTAACATTTAAATCAATCATTCACTTTTCAAATTGGTATCATGAATGCTTTTTTAAAATTCTTACTCATCTTCAGTTTTTTGTTGGCTCTTGCAATTGTAAATCTTGTGATAAACCTTAAAAAGGTTAATCCGTAGGTTAAATCTCATGAGATTCTACAGTGTATCTCATATCCTTAACATCCCTTTCCAGTCAGGATTTTACCTCATTGCTCTTCTTAGCATGAATGTTATTGTTGAAAAATCACTTGACCAAGTTGGGAAATCTGCCCCCTGCTTTGGCCGCCACTGTTTTTGCTGGGTGACCTTGGGAAGGTAATTTAATACCCCTTCCTGTCAGCTTCATTGGTCCAGCTTGCCTGCCTCAAAAAGTCTGTGTCAGGGTCCAGTGAGTTGACACCTGAGACGTAAAGTGTGTGCAGACACAGGAAATGAGTGTGACTAGTCCTGGTTCGCTCACTCCTCAGTGTAGACTTGTGCCATGCTACTTACTTTCTGGAACGACAGGTGTATTGGAAAGCTTTGCCTCTTTCCTTAATGTTAGTGGCAGAGAAATTTAATGCACTTTTTACATTTGTGTAATTTTTGCTGAAGTGTTTCCCACATGTATTGTAATTAAACTGGTATTAACTGAGCAGTTTTTCCCCCCAGGGTACCCGCATCTTTGTATTTACATGCCTTGTACACTCATGCCTGTATTCCTGTGTGGTTTCTGAGAAGTGCTGTTTAAGTGAAGAATGATGCTCTAACACTAGGTTCAGTGAAATAATTATGTCATTACAAAAGAAGACAAGGCATAATTTGATTTCATTTTGCAGAGATAACTGCTGTTCATCAGAGGGAGGGAGTGCACGTGCTATTTAAGTGTGGTTTTAAATGAACCATAAAAGACATTCGGTTGGTCTAGGAGATGTGTGCGATTGTGAGTCCACTTATGCTTGTTTCTAAACAGTAAAAATATCCCCATGTAACCCACCTTGGGGGACTTCTCTCTAAATAGTGTCACTACAGGACATCAACATGAAAAAAGCTTTCAAAAGTTCCACAGTCCAAGACCAGCAGGTGGTTTCAAAGAACAGCATTCCAAACCCTGTTGCCGACATTTACAACCAGAGCGATAAACCTCCTCCTCTGAATATCCTGACACCTTACAGGTACGGCTTCGTGTGTCCGCAGAGCCTTTAGTGTGAGGAAGTCGAGAGAGGTGGGCGGGGCGGTGGAAGTACTTTTTTCAAACTTTGAAAATAACAATTTCGGTGTTACACACAGTGAAATTACTTACTGGTACAGAATTGCTGAAGTTCAAGTATTTCAAAATACAGATCAACTTTACCAAGAGAAGTGTGAGCTCTGATGTTAGCTTTTAAATGCAGATGCCTGGTGGGGGGGCGTAGCTCAGGGGTAGAGTGAGCGCCTAATGCACAAGGTCCTGGGGTCAACACTCAGTACCTCTTAAAAAATCAGTCTAATTACCTCCCCCCCAAATTTTTTTTTAAAGAAAATAAATAAATGCAGGCAGCTTAAGTAGAAGCGGACACGTTACATAATAATCCTGTGCGGTTCTGCTGTTCCTCGTATGCAAAGTCCAGTTGAAAGGAGCTGCGTGACTCATTTATAATGCAGCAAAATACCTACCTGCCTCAGCGTCTCAGCCCAGCAGAGACGTTTGCTGCTTAATTCAGGAAAATTCGTTCTGCAGCACTGGGGCTCTCCAAGAGTGTGTGTGTAGTCAACAAACTAACCTTCTGTTGTGGTGAAGATGGGGGGACACAGCATTAGGACCAAACTCCCAAGAAAAAGAATGGAAAATAAGTCACACAAAAGGTCAATATTAAGAAACTAACTAAACATGCTCTTTGAAACGGCTCTTCTCTCTCCTGCCGCTTCAGGGGGCTGTTTCCCATTTTCACACACCTTCTCATGTCCCTCATTCCTCCCCATCTTTTCACCCCCCTGGCGAACTGACTCCTAAGGCAGCCCCTGATGGGCTCAGGCTGGTGGGAGGTGGTCCCCACTGCCCCCCGGACTGGCTCTGCCGGGCGGTGCTCCTGAATTCAGCGAGTCCTTCAGCTCCACCTCTGCCCTCCCGGGCTGGCCGGCCCTCCTCGGGGAGTAAGCAGAGCTTTTCCTGGTCTGAGGGCCTGTCCTTTCTCAGGGTCCGGCAGGAGATGCTCGGGCCCTTTATTGCAGCCCTGCTGGTAGAGCAGTGGTCCAGACTGCACCCCTTTCTTTCAGTGTGGACAGAAAGGTTCCCCAAAAATGTAAGAGATTCCAGGGAAACCGTGGTGGGAGAGGGCCAGGACGCCACTTTTTTCTATGAAACGTGTGTACTTTTCCGGCGGTTTTAGCACACTCCCGCAATAATTAGTGACGTTGTGAATAGTAGTAGTGTAGGCCTAATATTTTAACTTGTGATTTTGCTTTTGTTCAGCCCTCGTTAGAATAAAACAGACATATCTTGCAATAACTGAGGTATTAAACAGCACTGTTTCTGAGCTGTCTTGTGATTTGGGGTTAGCACTTTTCTATACCTAAATCTAAATTTGCAAGAGTGGTTTTCATTTGATTATTCTAGAAAAAGTTGCTGTTCTTGCATGTTTCCTCATTTTTTCAAATAAGGAAAATTCAGAGACTTAACAATGTATAGGACGGTTAAAATGCCCATAAACGTAAGTTAATATTAATCCCGTGTGAAAATGTCTGACAGCCTTTTCTCCCAACCCCTGACTTGTCATATGCTGATTTACAGAGATGATAAAAAGGACGGACTGAAGTTCTATACCGACCCTTCCTATTTCTTTGACCTCTGGAAAGAAAAAATGCTACAGGACACAGAAGATAAAAGAAAAGAGAAAAGACGTCAGAAAGTGAGTGATGCTGGTGTGGGGAACGGGCGCGTACACGTCTCAGTGGGATTCTCGCGTGCAAATTAGAAATTGAAAATCAGTAAATTCTTTCTTTGAATGGTGAGGTGTTGGGTTTAGTGCTGAAGGGCTTTTAGAGGTTGCGTTTTTCCCATGAGGGCAGGGACTGTTCCACCTAACACAGTAAAGCTATTTTCAATAAACACTCTGACTTGTTCTCTGATACTTGCTTTGCTTTAATGAAAGTAGTGGCTAAAATTTCAGTTTTGTTTGTAACCGTGTTTTATGACTTCTGCTCTTTCAAATTTTGTAAAGCAGTCGACATTCCGTATCAGATAGAATTACCTGCTTTGGTCTTTTTAACAGTATTCATTGCTGGGTTGCCACCTAACTGTAATTAAGACCTTGAGATGTTCATGTTGGATTGAGGAGCACGTGTGATCTGCACGTTTAGAGGATAGCATTTACTGAACGTGAGGTTCCCGGGGATGTTCGTAGGCAAGACTGGCAAGTCTGAAGGGAGAAGCATCTGCATTGCAAACACTCTTGGAAGGACCGAGTCCACTCTCAGATGAAGGGACTTCTGTTTTGAAAATGGTGTCTGTGGGGCCCAGAAATTAGACTTAAACCACTGGAAGTTAGAGTTAATTCTCCAAAGGCAAATATTTGCTAAGACTTTCCTGTGTGACCTATTTGAAAAATGACCACCTGGTTTGTTTGACAAATAGGAAGATGTATTCATTAAGAGAAAAGCTTAGCATTGTGTGGCTTGGCTGCCTTAAGGTCTTGGGGAGTTTGGGTCTATTGGCCCAATAGGAGGGATGGCTTGAGATGGAAGAAAACCTGCGATGTGAAAACAGGAATTAGGAAAGGGGACATGGAAACAGTTTGCAGGCTGCAAATGTGAGATGTCACCACGAGTTCTAGGACAGATTCCGCAGACCGGCCACCCACACGCCCTTCCCGGGCTGGTGGGTTGGAGAGATTGTTTGTGGGAGATCTTGGAAGAGCTGCTCAGAATTCAGGTGGAGAAATACTCAAGTGAAGAAGCTACAAAGCATTCAGGTGAAGAAAAACAAGGCACTAATCTCTTGAAAAGAAAAGGAACAGATTTTCAAAGGCCTGTTGGTCTGATTCCCCGAACGTTTTTCTGGCAACAGGGCGAAAGCCCAGGGTGCTTCAGGGCGCTTCAGGGCGCTCTGCCCTGACGCCTCCTTTAATCCTCAGGCCTCTCAGGGCTGTCCCAGAAGAGCCAGCGATACTTTCAGGAAAAATAAATAAAACAGAATAAATAAGTAGATAAACCTAAGAACCTCCCCCCAGAAAACATTAAAAAATATGTAACTTTTTAACTACTGTTCTTCAGGGAAAAACAGTCTTAATCTACTGTGTGTGATTAGTGTGTCTTCAGGAGTTTCTGTCATTTCCTTGGCAGTTTCGTCTCATTCCATGTTTCTCAAACACACAAAATTCTGATGAGAATGTATCCATTCACTTATATAATGGTTCTTTTTTTGAATGCCTTCTGAATGCTGTGATGAAAAAGGAAGCATTTACCGCCCTCAAGGAGATTACAATACAGCAGGAGAAACAAGCGTTAAATAATCCCGCAGTCCTCGGAAAATCACAGAGGGAAAGAAATTTGAAAATCTTAATGCAAGTCTGCTTTCCATAGGAACAGAAAACGAGGCAAGAGACCCTTTGTTTCCCAGGATTTTGGAAACCCGAGAGTCACTTTCGGTTCGGAACTGACAAGTCCATCTGAAGGAAAAATTAATTTCGAAAAATTTGGGGATAAGAAATCCCATGTTCCTGAACTTTGAATTTCCCTAGTTTGACAGTTTAAAAACATTTTTTAACAGTTATGCAAATAGTGATGTCGTTGTAAGGCTGCAGGTGCAGTGCTGGGGGGAGAAGTGGGGGGTGGCAGCAGGGGGGTGACAGTGATGAAGCGAGGTGGGTGGGTGCTGGTGGACAGATGGGGGCTTCTAGGGATGTTAATGTAGGCCAGTCAGACGCACGACAGTTAACCTTGTGTCGTGGTTGGTTCGTGTGTGTGTTGGTTGCCTGTTGTTGGGTAGACTGGAGGGTAAATCATTGTAAAGACAGTGGCAGGTTTCCAAACACTCACCCCTAACTGTGTCAGCACACATCTCTTAAAGGTCATAATTATTCATCAGTTTAATACGGAGACTCTTAATCGGATTGTACATTGGAATCCATTGAAACCTCCCCCTTTTCTTTTCTTTTGGTTTTAAAAGTATACAGACAATACAGGCCAGCTGTAAAATGCCCAGCCTACGCTGAAGGAAATACCTGGGTTTAGAAAATTTGGGGTTGAGTTTCTCCCATTCCCAGGCATAGCTACCCTCTGGGAACAGATGGGTGTGCGCATTTTTTTACTTTTTAAGCCTTTGTAAATATGTGTGCACATATATGTGCAGCTCACGAAGTACGTTTTATTCCTAGCACTGTGCTGCATATGACCCCCCAACACACACATATGTGTAGTGACATCGTGAAGATGCACTTCGTCCTTTCCAGCAGCTGTGTCATGTTCCAGGGTTTGGATGCCTCAGAAGCTGTTCACTCATTACCGTGTTAATGAGTATTTACGTGGCTTCTGAATTGCTGCAGTTACAGCACTGTGGGGGGGTACCTGTACGCGTGTGCGGATATTTCTTCAGGGTAAATTCCCAGAAGTACAGTGTGGGTTTAAATTTTTGGAAGATACCATCCTGCTGCCCCTGTCCCTTAAAAGACTGAACCAGTTAATACTCCTGACTGGCCTCCTCCAGTCCGGATGGTGATGGTGCTTGGCCTTATCCTCATGTATTTAAAAAAGTTTCATATGCTCCTCCTCCACCCCTACATTGCCCCCGCCCCTGGTGACCACTGATTTGTTCTCTACGTCTGTGAGTCTGCTTCTTTTTGTTACATATTCACTAGTTAGCTGTCTTTTTTAGATTCCACATATACGTGATGTCATACAACGGACGTGTTTCTCTGACTTACTTCACTTAGCATAATGCCCTCCACGTCCATCCATGTTGCTGCAAATGGCAAAACTTCGTTCTCTTTATGGCTGAGTAATCGGAATACACGCACCCTGTCTTCTTTATCCATCCGTCTGTTGATGGACTATTCCTGTTTTTTTTTTTTGATGAGCTCCCCAACCCCTTAGAAAATCTAATATGCATCCACATCTTTCCACATCTCATTATTATTTTATTTATTAACCATTTGTATGTGTTCTGTGAATGTCACATTCACATCCTTTGCCGAGGCATCACCTGAGCCTCCTGGACACCTGTGTGAACAGTCAGTTCTCCTTACCCCGCCACAAGCCACCTCCCATCCTGTCACCTGGACAGCTGAGCAGCTTGCTGATGGTGTCCCCACCTTCCCCGTTGAACGGGTTCTCCACGACACGACACTTTCCCTGGGCTCCTCAGTGCACCAGCCCCTCCCCTCAGTCATCATGGTTTCCTGTTGCTCTTGGGATAAAGAACATTTCTACACAGCCTTCAAGGTCTTGCCCACCGTCCAGACCCTGGGAGCCGTTTGCCCTGATTCACATTCATCTTCTGTCATTTCTCCTAATGTCCCAGTGTCTGTCCCTCCTCCTCACTGCCTTGCACATTCTGTCCATTGCACGTGCACCTGGCCTGTGCTCCTCTGCAGAACTCACACCTGCTCACCTTGCAGGATTTTATAATCTCTCATGTATCTGTGAGACTCTGTGGGCTTCCCCTACGCGACTCAGGCTCCGTGAGGGGAGGTGTGGTCATTCAGTCGGCGTATCCTGAGCGTGTCCACTCTTACAGCCACAGGGTGGAGGTACTACTGGAAGGGGGCATGGGGCTTAAAGGCACATAGTTCAGCAAATCTCATGCGGGAACCAGGAAGAACATACAGACTCACACAGGAGTGACTGTCCTCACCTGTAAAGCACCCACATAGGACCCAAGTGTTTACTGAGCACATTTTTGCTGGCAAAATAGGGCTGCAGCAAGAACGCTTCTTTGTGTAGGAGGGTAAGTTTTTATCTCATTTTTGTTTTATGTTGCAGGATTAGCTTAAATATTATGTGGTAACCTTCTAGAAACTGAAATGAGCCATTTAAGATAATTTATTGAAAGATGATTGCATGTTAACCAGCCAGAATTGTGCAGTGATGGGAAATGATTTCTGTGTCTGGTGTGGTCAGTTACCTCATCTGTGGAACAAAGACCTAAAAGGTGGAATACATTTAAAATAAGCTACATTCTAGCGAGGGGGGAATTCTTGACCAGAAATGATGGTCAGCCCCTCTTGAAGTTGCAGCGCAGCGGCTCTTCCTCATTTACGTCCAGTCGCTGGGTGTGCGTTATTTTCGTTGGGTCTGCGTCAGTAAGAGGAGCATTTGCGGAGTTGGGGTGCTGTCGGCCCGAGAGCAGTGGGAGTGGGACTGTCTTGTCTGCACACCAGGCTGGCCCCTGCGTGCCGACTGCACTAACCTGCTGTTTTCCTTCCTTCTGTCTCGGACGCTTGCCTCCTTTCCTGGACGTCAGGAGCAAAAGCGTATAGATGGCACCACCCGAGAGGTGAAAAAGGTTAGAAAAGCCAGAAACAGGCGCCAGGAGTGGAATATGATGGCGTATGACAAAGAGCTTAGACCCGACACCAGGTTGTCCCAGAGCGCACACCACGGAGCGTCTTCCGAGGGATCCTTGTCCCCAGACACTAGGTGTGTGCGTGTGCGTGCATGTGCATGTGCGTGCGTGTGCGCGGTGCCCTGGCCTCCGAGCTGGGCTGGGCTTCTCTGTAAATGGAAATGCACCAGTAGCTGTGTTTATGTGGCCTGCAGTGTGTTTCCAAACTTTCCTTAAAAATTCACAATCTATGTTTTTTGACTTTGAAATAATGCTTTAAAGCAGTTTTACTTTGTGTGATTTTCCATCTTTCTGACTTAACTCGATCATTTAGTTCATCTAGATGTAGTTTTGTTAACATCGATTCTGAATTTGAGCTTAGTAACTGCCAATGACTGACGTTTTAATCTTCATAATCATTTAATTCTTTCTCTGCCTCTTTTGCTTAGAATGTTGCATTTCCTTTGCCACTTGGTGTTTAAAACGATTGGGAGGTGGTAATTGATGTGATTAAGGGATAACTTCTTTTTGCTAACCTTTTTCAAAAAGTGATGAATGAAAGAGATTTTTTTTTTCAGTTCACTAATCTTATGTATTCTAATTGCAGGAGGAGAATTCTGTTGGCGTTTGCTTTAAAAATGTGTTAGCAATTAAGTAAAAATATTTCTTGCAGATATGAGAGATGTGGTCACTAAGCAGCGTTTATCACGAAAGGGCTTCATTGAAACGACAGAAAGTGACCGATTTTAACTTCAGGTTAATTTCCTATTTCTGTTTCTGTAAAGTTGGAGTCTTCTGTCGGCATTTAAACGTGAATAGAGAATTCTTACATGATTCAAGGATGTTTCAAAAACAGCAACAACTTGGACTTTGCGTTATATCTGTTTTTTTTCCTTGCGTGTTCAGCACAGACTGAGAACCTGGTGGCCGCAGTTCCGCCAGCACTCCTGCCCCCCAAGGGCTGTCAGTCACTGACTCTGAGGCGAGTTCTAGGTAACTTTCTCTGTCGTCAGTTAACTCTTAGGGAATTATTGCCACTTTACCTGAACCCTTGCCTCAAGTTTGAATCTTTAAGCCAGTTTATTTCTATAGAAGGTAAGAATGATGACACACTTCTGTTCATAGTTCTTCAGGTGGGGGAAGCACTTGAACTTGGTAGCTCCCAGGATGTCAGTTTGCTTTTTGGTTTTCTCCAACTAATTCAGTTGTGATTATTAACTCATGCAAAACATATGCTTTATAATGCTCCACATATATTCTTTTTTTTTCAATAGATACAGATGGAAAGTTGACTTTTTAAAATCTCAGTTGAATGATTGATATTCATTCCAGCATCTGAGATTAGATTGTTCCATGCTGAGTATGAAACTGATGAATTATGCCCTTTACAGTATTTTGGAAATTTTTATTTTTTTATTCTACTAAAGTGTGTCACTTTTTCCTTATTATGAAACAAGATAAACTTTTCTATTTGGAAATTATAGGAAAAAATAGAAGTATTATTCACAGTCCGATTATCCAGAGAACCCACCACTAGAATTTTAGTGGACGTCTTCCTCTGGTCTTTTTTGTATATGTGTGTGTGTTTTTCTTTTACAGAATTGAAATCATGCTCTCTCTTTTCTGTCTTTGATTTTTTTTATTTCTCATATTCACGTTTTGAGTATTATTTAGAAACATGGTTTTTAATGGACGTATTCGGCATAATTTGAGTGTCACGTTCTATGGCACGTGTGTCAGTTGTCTGTGTAAGTGACCCGTCTCAACCCGGCCCCATGAACTACTCAGGAGTTCTGCTCTCTTCTCAGAGCGTCAGGAGCGGTTTGATTCTAAGCGTGAATTGAGGCTGAGGCTTGTTGAGATGCCTGCCCACTGCCCTCTCCCCACTGGTCAGGAAGCACAACGCCTCCACGCCCTTGACCTTGTGCCTTTTCTTGTCCTGCTCTGGGTGTGACCGCTGCCCGGCTCTGCCCACCGCGCACCGCGCAGCCCCGAGGGAGTCACTGCTTCTCCCGCCGCGCCTCCTCTGCTGTGCGTCCTTCTTCCTGTTTCCACACCATCTTCACTCCACCAGTTCTCTTCTCTGTGACAGATAATTACTGATGAGCACGGAGCTTCAGGACCGCCCGCCTATGCGCACACTGTACCCTGGCTGACCTCTGCTGTCCTGTGGGGGTCCTTGCCTCTCAGCGGTCACCGTCCTTCTCACCCCCCTCCAGCCCACCCTCCATCAGAGCCCTGCCCTCCAGGCTCTGCTGCCGTCACTCTGGAGTCAGACGTTCACTGCCGTTCCCTTACTCCCTCCTCCGTCCGGCTGTGCTCTTCTTACTGGCTCCTTCTGGCTGTGTATCACAGAGCCATCTTGTAGGGTAGCACTCTCAGTGGTGCCAGGACAGTCACCATTTCTGGCTCTTCATCCCCTCTGAAGCACTCCATGGTTTGTTAGTTGAGCTTGCTCCCTTTAGGAGGTTGCTCCCCACCTGGGACATAGCGCCCCCACCCCGTCATGCAGTCATCAGGGGCTCCAGAGATTTCGGTATTTGTTTTTAAAATATGCTAGATCCAAACACAGGTCAGATTCTTTCCCCCTTAAAAATATTTTTAACTCTTTTGCTAGCAGTTGGCATGGTTCAAAAGACAGATGTGCACTGTCATCTAGAATTTATACTGCAATTACAGAAGAAGAAATGAGTTATGAGTTATTATTACACTGCAATTAGGGAAGAAAAAAAAGTCAGTCTTTGTCATCTAGAGAGCTCTCTGCAGTGTGATGCTTTGGTTCAGGGACGCGACTGTCTGAATCCCAAAGACCCAATGTGTGTTTGCCTGTTTTCTTCAGAGAGAGAGACACAAGCTGAATCCTAACAGAGCCCAGCAAGTCAATGTGAGGAAAGTGAGAACCAGGAGAGAAGAGTGGGAGCGGAGGAAGATGGGCATTGAGTTTATCAGTGACGCAAAGACTCCGCCGCAGGCAGGGAGCGCGGGCCAGGACGGGACGCCCAGAGGGTTTGTGGCTCCGCTTTCCTGGACTGCAGCCCAGCGTTCCCCGCTTCGGCTGCCGGGGGCGGGGTGCCCGCCGTAACCCAGTTACTAACGCCGGCGGCCTCGCCGCCCCGCAGTGCTGCCCGCCGCGGGCCCCCCACGTGGGCTGACTAACACGAGGCCTCGTTCCTTTCAGAGCCCCGCGCCCACCTGTGCTCTCAGACAAGGACGCCCTCCTGCGCCCCACATTCCTTGTCTCTTTCTTTGGCTAAATACATTTCTTCCATTCAAGAAAACTGCGACTCACCGTACTGCACTCCTGGCTCCTATTTCTGTCCATACTGTTAATATTTATCTGGTTTGTCTGTCACCTTAGAGTGTCTAATGACATGCTGTCTGTTTTGTCACCGCTGAAAACTTCCGTCCTTGACGCTGTTTTTAAACTAAGCGCAGCTTGTCCCGGAGCTTCCCTCTTAGAGGAGAGGCCGCTGCCACGCTGGTGTGTAAACGGGCTCTGCCGTCCGATGCTTGGCCGTCTGACGCGGTCGCTTCAAGCTGTGGCTCTGAATCCCTGTAACACCGTTCTTGCCGCTAAAGCCATAACGGTGCTGTTGCTTGGAGGTTCTCGTGGGCCTAGACCTTGCTGACAGCCGGGGGGCTGAGTGTGTGACGTCTGTGCCTTGAGTACGTGGTGGTTCAAATGTATGTTTGTGCGTGCGAAGGGAAGTCATCCTAACTTAATTTCACTTCCCCCCACCCCGTGTTCCCACTGCCAGATCCCACGCCTCGGATGTCACCGATTATTCGTATCCGGCAACCCCCAACCATTCTCTGCACCCGCAGCCCGTGACCCCTTCCTATGGAGCTGGTGATGCGCCAGCACACGGGCCCCCAAACCAGGCCCCCGAGCACGAGTACCGGCCGCCGTCGGCCTCGGCCAGGCACGTGGCCCTGAACAGGCCCCAGCAGCCGCCGCC